TGGGTGAATCTGAACTTGGATGATCCATTCCAGATTTTTGAGACCCCACGATAGATGCTAACAAGGAAGTCATGATCAAAACGGGTGCTCAGAGCGTCTACCCAACACGTGTGGTAAAGAACTAAAAGGCCAGCCAGTTCTTATGCGCCACTTGTGGCAAGAAGACTGTCCCCATACATGCTAACCCTCACCTATCTGGGTTTTGATTGTGAGCCATGGTAAAAAATACATGCTTCTCCGGCTTGACATGGGAAAACTAGTAAGTCCCTGGTCTTTGTGGGTGACATCTAGGGTTCGCCCCCTCTGTCCCTCCCAAATGGCCATGAGACAAATCAGGATATTTTCACCGAACCTCTTGCAAAACCTACTGTAGTGTGTGGATGGATGAAATCCGTTCGCGGCACCTAGGAAACCATGGCTGAAACCATAACTTATAACGTTTGTTGGCATTTACCTAACAAAACAATCATTTTAGGGTTTCTTCGGTGGTGCGAACGGATTTCGCCCATCGTGGCGCCTATGAGGACTTGGTCTACGCCTCCCTGGCCTGAGCTGTTGGTGACCTTGAGCTGCTTTTGAAGCTCCGGCGTCCAGCCCGTCCAGTCCTACCGCTGTGGTCACTTGGCTGTGGGTCAACAGTAGGGTACCCCAAAATGGGTTGCCCTGGCAAATGGAAACATGGACTAAAACCTGCGGTCCATATCCTGGTGGTTTAATTTTGACCCACACCCATACTTGCCGATTCTCTGCCCGTTTTTAGGGAGATTCCAGCCCCACCCACTCCCAAGGTTTTCAAGAGGGTTCCAGCAAACCATGTGAGGGTTTTAAAGAGGGTTTCGGTTCTCTCCCCGTTTTCAGAGAGTTTCCAGTCCCAACCACCCGCCGTTTTTAAGAGGGTTTCGGTTCTCTCCCCGTTTTCAGAGAGTTTCCAGCCCTAGCCACCCCCCGTTTTCAAGAGGGTTTCGGTTCTCTCCCCGTTTTCAGAGAGTAGTATCAATACCCACAGCACGTGTGGTTCGCCCAGAACCACCTTGTCTCTTTGGCCATGACAAAAGGCCACTTGCGGGTGAAGGCTGGAGTAGCAGAAGGTTTGGACGCGCTTCTGGATTTCTTGAGTTCTTCCCCTGTTGGTTCCTTTTCAGTAATCTTTTGGCGCTCTTTTCATATCCAGGGATCCAGAAAGGCCACATCCAAACCGTTTTCGCAAGGAGGACTTGGCGTACTTTGACCGGCGACGCAACATGAGGGGAGCCTCGGATGCACTCCAGGATTGGACTCCTCTCCTGGAAGCCCAACGTGAATAAGCCCAAGGATGACTTGGATCCGGGGATGTCCTATATATTTAAGTTGGAATCCGGTTGCTTAATCCAGGGTATTCTCACTTCTCGAGCGGATTGGCCAAAACAAGCAACCTAACATGTGATCTACCACTAAATTGGTCCAACCCCCAAAAAGTGACTAAACTCCAGGAACTCAGGCAGAAGGTCTTCAAGTCCATCACAATTTTGGAGTCGGTCGCACATTCAGATATTCAGGTCCACACAAATCAAACCCGCTTCGACCTTGCGACCCTGGCAGCTAATGAACACGGTGTACCCGGTTTTAGTGGGGCTTGTTCACTTTTGGAGGGGAACACCACCCCATGAATAAACTGGGGTTGATTCATAGGGGGGGACATGAACGACCCTTCGACCCTTCGACCCTTCGACGGGTCCTTGCCCCACTTGCCCTTCCAGGTGCGAGGGGCGTTCTGCCCCCAGGGGTTGCGAATCCTAAACGCGACGTCACTTCGAGCGAGGCAGGTCTCACGACGGGTTTTGGGCTCTCGGTTTGTGTCGTCTTTTGGGGCCCCCCCTGGATTTTGGTCGGCTTTGAAGGAAGACCACACGGAAACCCAAGCCGTGTTGGGCGTCCAAGCTTACAGACACCACTTGAAAAGGGGCTTGGTGCCCTCTCTGAGCAGTTGCGGTTTTGGGCTAGAAGCGCCAAACGTTGAACTGCACGGGTCCGTGCCGTTTCCAATCTTTGGCCACGGTGTTTCAAGGACTTCTATTTGCTTTGGGCTTTTCGGTTCGTTACTCACTGGGAAAGGGGTCTCAATGTAAATAGCCGGGGGGTGTCTAGGATGTCGGAACAAGTTGGAAGCCTTGGTCAAGGTGACAAACACATCCACTGGACCAGCCTATGTGGGTGTCTTTTTTAGGGAGACTCCCCAAAAAAACAATTGTGGTTTTCCGCTTGGTTTCTTGTTCAACCCACAAAGAAGGGGAACCCTCGAAATGAGTTATTGGATGTGTCTCGAGTTGATATAGTGCCAAGGCCCAGTTGCTTTTCTTGAAGCTTGGACTCCGAAGTAATTTCCATTTCTTGCCTGGTTGCTAAAGTGGGGTCAAAGAAAGAGGTACAGTCAAAAGGAACTAAAATTGGGGGCAAAGAAAGAGGTACAGTCAAAAGGAACTCTTGCATTTGCTAAAGGTGTTCGTTTTCTAGTTCCCCTGTTGGTGTTAAAGCGAAACACTACTTGACATATATGGATTTTTGTTTCCTGGGGACTTAAGCAAATGGAGGGTTTGCTCTTAGAATCAAACAAAAAAAGTCGGCTTCAAAATACCCAACCCCATTCCAAGTATGTTGCTCATAGTTAGGGCAATGCTCCAGAGGTAATTCTTTTGATTGTTCCGTGAGTGTCACTAAGAATTCCAATGACCATCCCCGCCTGTTGGGGTGAGCATGTGGAAAGTAGCCCTGTTCCATGTGGGTTAGGTCAAAGTAATCTTGTGAAGCTTCAAAATGGTGAATCCACTTTGCAGATACACCCCACACTTCTGCCCCCTCTGGCCTTCAAAATGCGGGGAACGATGTTGGGAGGCTCTCACCATGTCTCAAAACCCTTTGGGCTACGATTTCCTTTTCCCCCCCACCATGCAGCTGCTCAATGCCTAGAAAAACTCGCTGGCAAACAGACATCCAGAAGTAAAGCTGGATTTGGGCCATATAAGACCAAGGAATCAAAGGTCCAGTTTGGTTGATTTGCTGTCAAGTCAGATAAACTCACATGGGTGTGGGTCAAGATTAAACCACCAGGATATGGACCACAGGCTTTAGTCCTTGGTTCCACCTCGGCCCCAAAGGGGCCAAGGGCGCTCAGATCTCTTCTCCAAAGAGAATCTTCGCTTTTCCCCTCACCCAAACCAAAATCACCCCCCCACCCACCCATGTCGGCTGGACCCAAAATCCTGTCCGGCGGGCCTTGAAATTTTCGGGGTTCGTCGGCGTCCAGCTCCATGGGTCCATTTTTGTCGAAAATGTGCTGACAATTGCGAAAATCACTAAAAAAAAATTGCTTTTTTGTCCTGAAAAGCATGACCTCCTGGTGGCCAGGCCTGCCTGACGTGTCTGAGACTAGGCTCAGGCCCAGCCCAACCAGCAACCCGCCTGCTGGCCAGGCCTGTCAGCCCCACCCAGCCTCAAGCCCAAGCTTGTCTGAAACAGGCCTACCAAGTCATCCAGCAAGCCCAGCCCAGCGCCCAGCCCAGGCCCTAGGCCGGCCCCAAGGTCAGGTTTGTCTAACGCCAGTCCGGCTGCCCAAGCAACTCAGCCCCAGGCTGGCCAGGCCTTGACCTCCTGCTCGCGTCTGGCCCCAAGTCATCCAGCAGGCCCAGCCCCGTCAGCCTGAGACTGGCCTCAGGCCCAGCCCAGCCAACTCGCCACCCAGCCTCAGGCCCAAGTGTGTATGAAACAGGCCTTGCCCATCCAGCAACCCGCCCAAGCACAGCTCAGCCCAGCCCGCCCAGCCCAAGTTCCAGGCACAACCAGCAGCCTGGTCCGGCTGCCCGGCAGCCAGCAACCCACCCATGGCTTCGCAGCCTTGTGGCTGAGACTAGCTAAAGCCTGCCCAGCCCAGGCCCCAGCGCATCTCAGGGCATGCCAGCCACTACCGGCCCCCAGCTCCCAGCCCACCAGCAGGCTCAACCCAGTGTGCCAAGGTAGACTAGCCTCAGGCCCAGTCCCTCAGCCCGCCTGCTGGCGTGTCAAACGTGTCTGCGACTGGCCTCAGGCCCAGCCTAGCCAGCAACTCGCTACCCAGCCTCAGCCCATCCAGCGACCCGCCCAAGCACAGCTCAGCCCAGCCAGCCGAAGTTCCAGGCGCAACCAACACCATAATCCAGCTGCCCAGCACCACCCATGGCTTCGCAGCCTCGTGGCTGAGACTAGCTTCAGGCCCAGCCCAACCAGCAACCCGCCTAAGCCAACCCCACCCAAGCCCACCCGGTTTGAGACTCGCAGGCCTCAGCCTATCTAGCGCCGAGACTGGGCCTCACCAGCCTGGGCTCAACTAGCGTCTAGCCCAGCCCAGTCCGCCTGCTGGCCAGGCCTGTCTGACGTGTCTGAAACTGGCCTCAGGCCCAGCCCAGCCATAGCCCAGCCCCCTCAGTGCGGCTGCCCAGCCCGCCGTAAACTAGCTTCAGCTCAACCAACAACCCACGCAAGCAAGGTCCAGCCAAGCTGCCCGAGACTAGCTTCAGGCCCAGCGCAGGCTTATCTGATGTGTCTGAGACTAGCCTGTGGCCCAGCCCAACCAGGCGAGGCCGGCTTGTCTGACTTGTCTGGAGCCAGCTTCAGGTATTCGGACCTTCCCAACACTGGATTTCGGTGTTCCTGACCCTTCCCTCAAACTAGGCTGGGCCGAGGCGGGCAACGCGAAGCGTTTACAATTAAACCACCAGGATATGGACCACAGGCTTTAGTCCTTGGTTCCATTTACCAGGGGTTCCATTGTGGGGACCCAGTTTTGACAACCACAGCCACCTGGTTCTTCTCAGCTGCTCCCAAACCTCCCCCCCCCCCCAGAGCCCCGCACTTGACCAAATGCTCTGTGCGCCCGTCCAGGACCACCTGCGGCTTTGCAGTTCCTAGCCTACAGCCAATGACGGTCTTGCAGAAATACGAGTAGCAGCTGAACAAAAGAAGAAATTCTCACATCCGAGCGAGTGGATTGGCCCAAAAAAGTTCATGGACATAAGCATTGTCCACTAACATGGTGTTCGCACAAAGTTTTAGGTTCCAGGAACGCAGGGAGTTCGTCACCTGAAATCTTCCCGGAGGCTGAAGCCGCGGCACTAACCCAGGATGGCTCACATGTTGCCTTGCAGACTTGCCGACTGAGTTTACGGACCAAACTTCTTTGGGCCTTGAGCCCTCAAACGATGAAGACATCTAACCAGCTGCAAGTTTGCCACCGACCGCAAAATACAGCAAAGAGGCGCCGCTGGTTGCAACAAAGTTGAATGATGATCCGCCAGTGCCAATCATAAAGGTAAGGAGCAATAGAATCAGCCAGAGTCCACGCGCTGGACTGGAATTCCTTTCCGCGCGCACCAGTCTACGTGTTGGAAGGTCGGGAAGCCCCGATCTTGAAGGCTCCTTCATGGCCTTAACAAACAGCATCCAAACATGTTAGCAGAGTTCCGGTTAATGCCTTTGCTCCGGCCAGTTTAAGCATCGTGGGGAATATGTCTTAAACACCCTTTCCTAAACATCGTTTTTCTACGGGGATTTCTGCAACCCGGCGTTTTGAGGGGGTCCCCTAGCTGTGAAACGACAGATATTCTGAGTGGGCAATATCCTGCGGCGCCTAAGAAACCCTGGAATGATGCTTGCCCTGTAAATACCAACAAACAATGGTTTCCCATGGTTTCATTTTGTGGTGCCAACGGATTTCGTCCATCCTCAGTATTGTCAGAACATCAACTCAGATTGACTGATTCAGGTGTCCCTTCTGGGTCCGTTGCATTTGGTTCTGCGTTCCTTTTGGACGCCAGGGAAACGACAATTGCTCCCTGGTGATACGACAGAAAAAGGTTGGCCGACCTGTTTTCCTATTTATTTTCCAGCCTGGGGGGGTGGTTGTCTTTAGGGTAGACTGTGCACTTGCAACCAACACATTTTTTGCTGGTTAAAACAGGGGTCACTGGATGTTCTGGATACAAAATCACAGTGGGTTTCATTGAAACGATCGCCACTTTTGGAGGTTCCAAAAGGGAACTGGAGGAAGCCCTGCATGAAGAACAGCTCAAGTGATAAGCTATGGCACTACGTAGAGGTCTGTGGAGCAATTTTCGCCCAGTGGGTTTCACCCTTCCCTTGTCAAATCAAATTCCCTTGGCCCGAGTTGGCCCCAAAACCTGAGCTCTCCATGGCCGAGGGCGGTCTTTCCCGTATCAGTCATCCTCTTTCGCTTTA